AGCAAAAGAATACGATGCCCTTTGACAAAAATCTTCAATTTCTGAAAAAATGAATTCATTTCTTATCCAATGAATTTCATAAACCCTCTTGCAACGTTCCTACGTTATAAATGATGAAAATGTTGAATGTTTATATTTTCAAGATATTAAATGTGGATATAACCATGCTAATTCTTCACCAATTCAAACCTGCATTTCTTATCTTTTCATTGAATACTTTGTTAAGTACTCAGAATCAATAAGATATTATATGTGGATATATAACATTACTCAGACAATTACTCTATTTTCTGTTGACTCATGTTATATTCAACATGATCATGCTGATGAACAAATTTGCCCTTTTGTAGTTAACAGCTAAATGATTAACAAACTCATTAACAAACTACATAGAGCTGGAATTTTGTGAATCAACATACAACTTATGTTCATATGGTCTGTTTATTCATCAGGTAGTTGGAACAATGGGTTATGCAGCTCCAGAGTATGTTCAAACCGGACGTCTTACATCAAAGAGTGATGTATGGAGCTATGGTGTCTTCCTTTATGAGCTCATTACTGGTCGGCGGCCGATTGACCGAAATCGCCCCAAAGGTGAGCAGAAAATGTTGGAATGGATAAGGCCATACCTTTCAGATGGAAGGAAATTTCAATTAATATTGGATCCAAGACTTGAGAGGAAACACCTCTTCAGGTCAGCACAAAAACTTGCTGTAATAGCAAACAAATGCTTGGTCAGAAACCCAAAGAATCGCCCAAAGATGAGTGAAGTGTTACAAATGGTGACTCAGGTTGTGGAGTCTTCAGTGAGTACAAATCCACAGCAACCCTTGAAGGGTGTTGTAGCCTCGGAAGAAGCTTCTGCTGAAACGGTGAACAAGAAAATTACCATGGATCAACAACCACATTGTAATTGGTTAAGGATGTGGAGACCAAAGTTTTTAAGTACATGGTTGTAGCTTTATACTGAACAAGGCAAATAATTGGAGGCAAAGTTTGTTTATGACAAGAATGATTTTTTGTTCCTGTACTTGGAAACCAGAAAGAGCAGATCATGTTACTGCTATTTTTGTCACACCAAACGAAAAAATGTGCATAAACTATTTGTGCCACTTAGGGGTGCTTCAAGCGTATCAATCTATTTGATGAAGTTTTTAAGGATGCTATATTGAAGTAGGTAAGAGGAAAAGAATTGTGAATTGCAAGGTGGAGGCTGGATTTCTGTGATATGCTAGATATGTTGATGACCCTAATGTATGTAGCTGCTCTTAGAGAAGTGAAAATTAATCACTTAATGGATGTAAAATAATTCCTTTGTAAATTCTATATTTTTTTATTTGCACATTTTCTTTATAAATATGCATATTGAAATTTTGTTCCTTTACATCTATAGTTCCTGATCATTTTGCGAGTCAAATGCACAGATTTAAGGTTTTGGAACAGTATATTGAATTTTGTTGTTTTCCTATATATAGACTCTTGTAGTGGGAGCCAAAAAGAGTGGTTATCTCAGTTGTCTTTCTATTGTGAGATGTGTTCATCTCTCAAACACGTATGATGCACGTTATATATTTATATCATAGAGTATAGGGTTAAATATGTTTTTAGTCCATAAATTATTGGCCGTTTCTGGTTTTCGTCCCTCTTTCAAAGTAAGGTACGATTTGGTCCTCAATCTTTTCGAAACTTTGGTTTTAGTCCTCGAAAACTAACACCGTTAAATATGTACTGACGTGGCTAACGGTAGACTGACACACGATTTTTTTTAAGTGTTTCTCACTCTTTCTCCCCTTCTCTCTCTTCCTTCCATCTTCCACCCAACTTCATCCCTGGTTTCGTTTTTCTGATATTTATTAGCAGTTATGTTAATTTCTTTGGAAAGTTACTGTTTTTAAAAGTATCCTTCTGTTAAAAATCTTTGGATTCCTCTCCCTTCAACTTGAGTGAGTTACGTTTCTTCTACCAACCAACATATCCTAACCAATTGTGTTTACAAATTTCCAAATATCTGCAGGTTCCCTTGAGTGTTACATTAACATGGATATATGCGTCGTTTCTAACAGCTGGGGGAGCATATAACTACAAAGGATGCAATGGGGTTTCCCGATTTTCCATTTCAGGACTTGCATAATCATGGCCGTAGTATCTCTGGTTGCTTCTGTGGATTCAGTAAGTAAATTATTTAAATGCTTGTAAATACAAATATTAGCTGAATGGTACTATGAATCCCACGATTATAAAACTAATGTAATATCCTGTATTTTCCATGAGAACATGATCAGAAACTAAAATTGTGAGTAAGTGAATGACAAGTTGGTTTTGCAGGTTGGAACTTATCATTCTGCATCTCTGCGAGTCAATTTGAGGCCTCCAACTCCAGGAGTGGTGAGTCGAGGAATTGCATTGGAGGGTTTGTGTAGTATATTGGCTGGTCTTTGGGGTTCGGGAACTGGCTCGACCACCTTGACAGAAAACATTCACACAATTGACACAACAAAAGTGGCAAGTCGGAGGGTGGTGGAACTTGGAGCAGCTTTCATGATTCT